CGCACACGCGCACACGCGCACACACGCACACACGCACCCGCACAACACCCGCACACACACACACACACACACACACACACACACACCCACACCCACACCCACACCCACACCCACACCCACACCCACACCCACACCCACACCCACACCCACACCCACACCCACGCACACGCACACGCACACGCACACGCACACGCACACGCACACACACACGCACACGCACACGCACACGCACACGCACACGCACACGCACACGCACACGCACACGCACACACACACAAAACAAAACACGCATACCGTAGGGGAAAAAAAACACACACTGTGGGAAAAACGCACAACAAACACACAAAACACAGTGTTTGTTTGTTGTGTGTGTGTTTTGTGTGTGTGTGTGTGTGTGTGTTTTTGTGTGTGTTTTTCCCAGAGTGTTTTTTCCTTCGACACCCCCCCGCGGATTGCCACACGCAGAGCAGCCGCGAGCGGTCCTCGAGGCGGCCAGACCAGCCGTCGCCCGGCGGGCCCCACACGCGGAAGCTCGCGCGGCCGCTGGCGGCCGCGAGCCCCACGCCCCAGACGGTGCGGGTGCCGTTGGTGGCGTTCCTGGGGGGTCAGAACTGACAGCGGGGATCTTCTGACCCGGGTCCATCCAGACCTGGGTCAGTCAGGCCTCGCAGGATCCTGCAAGATCCTTCACCCAAGCCCGGGCCAACGCGAAGGGTCCTGCAACAATGGGTCAATGCGGCCCTGGCCCTGCAGGGTCCTGCACCCAAGCCTGGGTCAATGCGGCCCTGGCCCTGCAGGATCCTGCAGGATCCGGCGCTCTGGCGGACCCCCGTTTGCACTGAGCCCCGTCTCTTGAGCCCCGAGAACATGCGAACATGCTCGCGCCGGGCACGGGGTATGGCGCTACTGCCGTCGGGCAGAAAGAGCAGTGGCCCTGCGTTTCTCGCCTCTGCCCTGTCGCCTCGTCGTTCGTTCCCCCCTCCGTGCACAAATCCTCGTCGTCGTCCTCCTCCAGATGTTGTGGCCGGGCGCGGGCTCATGGTCGCGACATGCACACACAAACACACGCAAACACACAAACACACACAAACATACAAACACACACAAACACACACAAACACAGACACACACACACACACGAAGACGCACAAACACACAGACACACAAACACACAACCAAACACACACAAACACACACACACAACAACACACACAAACACACACAAAAACACACACAAACAAAAACACACACAAACACACAAGCACACAAGCACACACACAAACACACACACAAGCACACACAACCACACAAACACACACACACACACGCACACGCAAACACACACAAACACACAAACACAAACACCCACAAACACATACACACATACGCACAAACGCACACACACACAAACACACATAACACACAAACCCACATTGACACATACAAACACACACAAGCACACAAACACACACACACACACAACACACACAAACACACACACAAACACACACACACACACAACAATACGCACAAACCCACACAAACACACACACAGAAACACACAAACAAACACACACACAAACGCACACACAAACACACAAACACACACACTAACACACACACACACTCTCAAACACACAGACACACACGAACACACACAAACACACACACAATCACACACAAACGCACTTCAACATACAAACACACAAACGCACACAAACACACACAAACACAAACAGTCACAAACACACAAACACACAAACACACAAACACACACACACAAACATACACACACACACACGCACTGACGAAGGAGGGTTTTCGCCGTTCGCGGCCTTAGGGGGCCCTCGCTAGGCCTAGTGGGATTGTAACAAAAACGGATAACAAAACCGGCCTCGGCGAAGGAGCTGGAACTTGTGGGGACGTCGCTCTTGAACAACATCTGAACATTGAATGTTTGGCAAGGTACCAATACTGCCACTCCCCGGGCCTCTCCTAAACTGCGATCTGACCAAATTCTAATAAGAATCTGGACGTAGCGGCTCTGATTGTATGTTTCTTTGCGCTGAGGGTATGTTTTCGCTGAAAACCCCACTTTTCAAAATCATGAAATCAATGTCCGGCTTTTCCTCCTCCGATAGAGGCCTCCTGGATGGGATCCGAGAAGGCGTGGTCGGAGGATCGGGCCGCATCGCCAATGCATCGGCGATGCATCGGCAATCCATGGGCGACATCGGCGATGCATCGGCGACGCCAGCATGGAAAACATCAGGCTCCCCATCGAGCCGCATCGTCGATGCATCGGGGATGCGGCGAGATCCCCCGACCCCGTCAACTCCGACCGCAGCTAGGAGGCCTAGATCCGAGCTCCTGCGCGCGGCCTCGCCTTCGAGCCGGGCCCTCAGCGCCCTGACGGGCTCGAAGCTGTGCACGCGCGCGGAGGGGTGGAGCGCCAAGAGGTCCCGGAACCGGACCCCCAGGCCGTCGCCGGCCCCGACCTCTGTGAGGGCAAAATCTACAACTCCTCCTCCTCCTCCTCCTCCTCCTCAACCTGCCTCCTCCTCATCCTCCTCTTCCTCCTCCTGCCTCCTCCTCCTCCTCCTCCTCCTCCTCCCCCTCCTCCTCCTCCTCCTCCTGCCTCGTCCTGCTTCCTCCTCCTCCTCCTCCTCGTTCTCCTCCTCCGCCTTGTCGGTAGCACTCCTTTGGAATCGCCGAAGTTCTGTCACACGAGGTAGGGAACCAACCACACAACATATGAAATAGAAGGGGATCGAATATATTCGCTCGTAGTTTTGATGGACTCAAAGGGGCCCTCGGTACTTGATCCATAACGGCGTCTGTGCGAGCATACGTGTGCGTCAGCACACGTACATCAAATCGCTACAAATCATACGCTGCACTGTACTACTGGAATACATGCTATGGTAAGTGAAACTACATTGCAACGGATCCTGCGCCATTGGCATCGGAAAGCAAAAGGAAAGCCTTCCAAACATAAAAAATGAAACGTGCTCGCATCCTTTACATATCTAACCGGGAGCAAACTTCCATAATCAATCCGATCTCCTGCTCAAGCCTCAAAGTCGGCACTCAATGACGCCGTCAGTTCAAACTCTCGCACGAACTGAAAACTCGGCGTGGTTAGGTCACGCCTGTACGTGCATTGGCTCTGGGTGCTGGCCGTCCGCTCGAGCTTCTCGACATCCGTCGCTCTCTCATCGTTCACTCTCGGCTCCGCAGACGCCGCCTCAGTTCTCTGCTCAGCCATCGTGCGCGCATCTCGGTGCACGCGGACCTCGTCCATCAGCTTCTGCTCTGTCGTGTACTTGAGCCAGCGCGTAGCTGCCAATGCACATCCACAACACAACAGAATCGCCACCAACAGAACAAACAATGGTATCAGCACCCACGGAAACTCCAGCTCGACCTTCTCGATCTTCTCTCCCTTAACACACTTTGCGGCCGCCGCCTCGATCTGTGCAATCCTTCTTGCCGTGCGGGTGCTGCCCGTCGTCGCTCGGACATGTTCTCTCCGCCGGTCCTCGTGCTCGTCGATGTCTACGGCCTCGACGTCCTCGGGCAGGTTCGCCTCGTCGAAATCTGCCACTGCTTCGCCCAACTGTTTCTCGGCTTGAGCTCGTTCTTTCTGACTTCTCTTCTTGCCCGCCGTGAACGCCGGGTCGTACCTCAGCGCGCGCGTCGTTCTCCCCAGCTTCTCCGCGAACTGCTGCCGCACCTGTACCTTCGCAAGACAATGCGCCATATGCTGATGCGTGTTGGTCCATCTCCAAACTCCCCCGAACTCCCGCATCCTCTTGCTGACCGGCAGGATCTCCATCCCTATCCTGCGTCCCGCCAAACCTCCAGCTGCCGCCTGAGATTTCGCCGCGTCGAAAAGCGCCATGCAATCCGCGATGCATGGGCTTCGCCCAAGATCTGCGACGCCCCCGCGCCTGCCAGACACGTCGCGGGGAAAAGCGCCGTCGTGACCCTCGTCTTCGCAAACTCCAGCGCGCCCACTGCACCCGCTGCGCTCTGGGCTTCGCCTGCCCGAGAGCTCCGACAGATCCTCGCCAGCTTCTTGCCCGCCCAGTCCACGATCGCCAGCTGCGCTGGCTGGCCGTCGTCGATCCTGGCGCCCTCGGTCACGACGATCACGCAGCCGCCCCGCGACTCGCCATTCGGGGTGTAGCCCGGGGCGCGTCCCAGTAGACTCCAAGCCTTAGCCTGCCCCTGGCCCCCGCGTACTTGACGCGAATCCCCGCGTCGCCGTCGGGATTCTCAGCGGCTTGTTGGCCTCCAGTAAGCTGCCGACCGTCGCCTTGCTGACGTCGCCCCGCGCAGCCGAAACCGCCGCCGCCGCCTGCGCCGTGCCCCGAGACGCTGGCCACTGCATGGCCCCATTCAACCCCCTGAACTGACTTATCTCCTTCGGCGTGCACGGGCAGTCTGGGTGCATCCTCCTCGTCTTCTCGGTGCTGATCGGCATGACCTCGTGGATGCAGGCCTCGGCCTTCGCCTCGATTCCGTCGCGCGAGGGGGGCTGCGCGTCCATGCCGCAGAAGACAATGTTCTTCCGTAACTCCCACTTGCCGAACTTGAACCTCTGGTTGAGCCTCTGCGCCCGATCCAGGAAGGTGCCCTCGTACGCCTGCATGTTATAGTGATCCCCCTCGCACTCGAAATCTGTCGCCGCCGCCGATGAAGTCCCCCGCGCGTAGCCCCAGCACGCCGTTCGACGCGCAGTGATGGTCGTTGTCCGCCTGCCAAGACCAGAGACTGATCAACCTCGTTAAGCGCGGGGCGGTGCGACAGGGAACAACGCCTGCCCGGCGCGTGCTGCAGGGGGCCTATCTCGAGCATGGCCTCCGTGATCATCTGATTCCACTGCCTAGGGGCTCGCGCATCTCCGAAAGCGGGCTGCAGCATCCTGAATACCCCGTCGTCCTGCAGGCCCATCGCCTGCGCCAGTCGGCGTTTTATGTCCTTCGTCGGCCTGCAGAAAATCCGAACTCCTTGCGCTCTGATGCCAACCGCCTGATGGAATGCGCCCTCCGCGTTCGCGCGCGCCGTCTTCCAAGCTTGCTGGCGCAGAATGAGCAAAATAAGGAACCTCGCCAGTCGCGTGAGAGTAGTAGGGCTCGCCTCCTCCACCTGGTGCTTGTCACTTTTTCCACGTGAAAGCCCTGTGAGATCACTCTCGCGCTTGCCTCTTCCAGTCCATCAATTATCTCGCACTTCGACAGGAATCGCATAGGACGCGTCTCTCCAGCGCCCGCCGCATGCTCCTTCACTGCCGGACACGCCTGGTTCTCTATCCATGGCTACGGCGCCTTGGTCATCGCCTCGTCGAACTGCCTGCGCTCATCGACGCTGTGCCCGGCCTCCGCCGCCCAGACCTTACTCGCCGCGCTGGCCATGTAGACCGCACCCGCGTCCTCATACAGTAGCAGCAATTTGTCGCCTTCGCTGCTGCTCACAGAGCTGGCCGCTGTGGCCGCGTCGGTCTGTTCGGTCGCCTCGGTAGTGGCCGCAGTCCGTCCAGTCATCTGGCCGCGCTGATGGCGTCCAACAACTCGTCGCCGTTCTCGGCCGCGCGCTCCTCAACCTCGTCGCCGTTCTGGCCGACCTCGGCGACGCGCACACCACGTTCTATTTGATCAAGTGGTGCGTCAACGGCAGCCGCCTGAATTACCTGATCCGGACGACGCCGCGCAGCTCCACGCTCCCAGCGGCGACAACGTTCGACAACGACGTCGCTGACACCCTGTCCGCAGTGTGCGGGCGAGTGTTTTCGGCTAGGCAGCGCGCCCGCATCGCCCTCGCGGTCAAGCAGGGCGGACTCGGCCTCAGGACCGTGGCGGAGCGCGTGGACGCTGCTTGTGTCGCGTCCCGGTCGGCCACCCACGCCCTCTGCGTTGGGATCCGCCCAGGACACAAGGGGTTCGGGCAGGGTCGCGACCCGCTGCTGCGCGCGGCCGTCGACTCGCTGGCCCCGAAGCTGCCAGACCCGAGCGTTCTGAGCGAGGACGCCGCCGTCGCGGTCACGCGGACCAAGCTCAACGAGGACATCGACGCCTTCAACGCACGCTCGTGGAGGGAGGCCGCCGAGCCCGTGGAGATAGTGCACGCCAACGCATTCTCAGCCCCTGGGGGTGGGCAGGAATTGGACATGGTACCATCAAAGACGCTTGACACGCACCTTTTGCAAGATGATTTCGCGACTACCGTCGCCCTTCGTCTTGGAGTCGACGTCATGGATGGGAACGTGCCATGCCCGTTGTGCGGCGAGCTGCTGGATTCTGGAGGGTTACACGCGCTGTCGTGCATGTCTGGAGGAGATGCCGCAGCCCAGCACAATGGCGTGCGAGATGTGTACTTCGATTTCTGCGAGCGCGCCGGTCTCCGCCCGCTGAGCGAAGCGCCCCGCGTGCTGCAGGAGGTGCTCGGGCGAGACAACAGGCGGAGGCCGGCAGACATTCTGTGCATCCCCGCGCTGGCGTTGTCCAGGCAGCTTCCGGACGGATCTCGCGCAATCCGGACATAACCAGTGTGCTTTGATTTCGCAGTTATCAGCGCCCTGGGCGCAGGCCACTGGCAAGAGACAGCTGCAGGGCCCGGGGCAGCGGCGGAGAGATATGACCAGAGGAAGCGGACAGACCAGAACACCGAGCAGCAAAGCACGGCAGCCGGCTTCCGATTCTGGCCCGTCGTCCACGAGGCGCAGGGCGGAATGGCCACGGCCGCCCACGCGGCGGCCCGGGCCATCGCGGCGGCGGTGGCGGCCAAGGAGCGCCGGGAGGCAGCCTCTGTCAGGCGAGAGTTACTGTCCCGCGTGGCGGCGGTAGTCGCACGCTGCACCGCCAGGGCTATCAAGAAGAGGACAGCCCCGAAGCTGGCGGGCAACGTGCCGACAGCCGTCCGGCAGATCATGCGGGACACGGACGCGCGCGAGGAGGTGTAGGCAGCCTGGCTGCCCCTCTCCCCTCCCTCCCTTCCTCCTCCCCCCTCCGCCCGATTCCTTATTATCTGATTGTCTGATTTCGCATTGGATTTTCGATTCGGCCGGTTGCGCCGCAGAGACAATCCCAAGTTGAGGGACGCCGGCAATTGTCTTGTTGCGCGGTCGGTCTGGTGTGCTTCTCGGCCCGCCTTCTGCCTTGCCTTGGCCCCGGCCCCCGGCTCCTCCCCCTTCTTCCCTCTCCCTTCCCCTTCCGTGTCGCCCCCTTTTGCCCTCGTGCTTCCTTGCCCTTGTGCGTTGTGTGCTCTCCCCCTCCCCTCCTGCTTGGCTTCCCCTCCCTGTCCCCCCGTCCGTCCGTCTGTCGGCCCGGTCTGTCCTTGCCCGTCGTCCTCTCTCCCTCTCCCCCGCCCCTTCTCGCTCCTCGGTTCCTCGCTCTCTTGCCCGTTTCTGGCCCTTCCTGGCCCGCTTTATTGTGTCGGCCCGTCCCGGTGTCCGAATAAGAGCCGCGGCGCCGCGCACTGCTTGTGAACCCCTGTG